GAATTCTGGCTCCATCTCTTTCTCGCCGTACAGTCTTGGGGAAGACATCGACCCCAAGACATCGACCCCGCTCGGCCTCCTTTCCCGCACCTGTAACGTGAGACTAAGGCACCCCCGCCACATGCCTGCGTGTGAGGATGAAACGAGGAGATGCCCTGAAGCACCCAAGCCCAGTGCCTGGCACACAGTAGGCACTCAATAAACAGTCCTCCCTTCTTTTGAGGACTCGATACAGTAGCCAGGTCAATAAAACTTCAGGGAAACACATGTCCTACCAAAATGCCAACAGAGTTAGGCATAAGGACTAGGAGAACTTGAGTAGTCTCAGTTGCCGCTGGCGGGGCTGTCCGACACCCTGCACCGTGCTTGCTCCCCCACGCTGCAGACCTCTCCATGTTTCCCGCCACCTTCACCACTGAGGGCCACGCTCCCCAGTCCAGGTGGTTTGGCCTCTTCGCCCCAGGCCTACCCAGTGCTCTGGCCTCAAAGGTTCTGCGGGGTCCCCAAACATGCCCCACCCACTGTGCCTGTGGTGGCCCTGGCTGTCCTCTGGGAGCACCTCCCCTTACCCCACCCCACCGCTTCAGAGCTTCCTTCCGGCTCAGCTCAGGTCCCATGCCCAAAGCTTTTTGTCTGGCTACTGAGTAACCTCTCTCTCTTCCTCCCTTCCGGGCTCCTGTGGGAATCAGTGCTTTCACCCCGGCCTCACTCACGTCCCCCGGTCATGCTTCTGGAAGGTGGAGCCATTCTCCCTTATCTTTGATGCCACCCACCACTCCTGGGGGACTGCGAGCACCTGGCTGGTGCTTGGTAAACGTCTCCTGAGGGGATGAAAGACGGTCCCGCTCCCTGGGTCAGAGAAGGGAAGGGTGCAGGGGTCAGCTGAGAGGAAGCAGGGTTTGGAGGGGGGTTAAACTCTGCAGGGCTGCAGGGCGGGGCTGTGCGCTTTCAGCTCTGCAGTAACTAAGGCACCCTCCACCCTTGGGGAGAGCTGGGACCTATATAACAGTCCCCATCCCTCACGGCCGTACAACCTCGTGAGGAACCCAGAACTTTCACATCGAGTCGCCTGCTCGGCAGCCCTGGGAAGCAGGGAAGGTGGTGCACTCCCCCCCTTTTGTAAAGGAGGACATCCAGGCTCAGAAAGGCTAAGTGTCTTGCCTGAGATCACACAGCAGGGGAGGGGTGAGCCCCAGGAGGGAAGGTAGTTCTGCCAGACCCTGTGGCAGGGTGCTGTGTGTTGCACACGCCTCCCTGCTCCTCTGAGCTTGCTGAGGCTTTGTCACTGCTCTGAATATCCCAACAGGAGCCTGGGAAGGAGGCGGAGCTCCCGTCACAGAAGCCACAGAAGACTCTGTGAGGTCGGAGTGAGGACATCGGGCCCTTGCTACTCCCCTTTCTGTCCCTGGGTGACTGAACATGTCCATTGCTTCTGCAGTCACATACCAGTTGCCCATGTGCCCAGCCCTCAACGTGGCACATAGGGATTTGAGGTATTTGGTGGTCTGTGCCTCAGTTTCCCCTTTATGGATTTGCTCGCTCCTTTCTCTTGGCAGGCAGGGTGAGGCTAAATTAATGTTTATTTAAGGGCTTCTGCATTCTGAGCTGACAGGTGCCTTGTGATGGTAAAATACGAACCCAATGTAAGTGCAAAATGCTATTGTTTTACACCTGAGGGTGATGTTTCATAATGGCAATGCACTGTCAGAGCCGTAAGCAGAAATGAATGGTGTGTCTGAACCTCCCCAGCTCCCCCAGACTCAGAAGACAGAAGCTCCCATCCCAGGCTGGGAGAAATATGAGGCTACTCGCCTTTTGCTATAAATCTGCCGTTTCATCGGCCCTGACAGGTGGCTGGACAATCCCAGTCAATTCATCAATTAAATCTACCCATTTGTAGTTGCCGGGAACCTTGTGTCCTTGGCTCTGGCAAGATCCGAGGCCCAGAGTTGCAGGAAGGCTGCTGTCATCGCGGCTGATGCTCCTGGTGGGAGCAGGGGCGGGTGGGGAGGGCTCAGGAAGGGGCTGTCTCAGGAGGCAGGGAGAGTGGAGTGCATTTCCAGATTTCCAGCCAGGAGAGAAGGGGCTAGGAGCATGTGTTGGGAGTAAGGCTGGGATAGAGGAAAGGGCAGGAAGGGGTCCCCAAGCTGGAAGAACAGATTCTGTGGTTCATACAAGTGCATTCTCTGGCTCTGGTGTGAGGCAAAGCCGGGCCACGCTCCCAGCTCTGGAACTCGCACGTCGTGTGACTTTGGGTGAGTTAGGTAACTTCTCAGAGTCTTCATTTCCATATCTGTAAAATGGAAATAATAACAACAACACCCCCCAGGGAGTTATGAAGATTAAATATAAAATCTACATAATACAAATATAATATCTAGAATGGACCTGGCGCTGCGCCCTGTCTGTAGTTAACAGTGAAGTCAGTGGCGCTGCTGTGACTGCCGGGGGTAGTTTCGTAACAGTGGGCTACATCATACTTTTCCTTAACTTGGCCTTGAGTATCGACTCGGCCTCGCCCATGAGTCAGACAATTGCTGGATTCCTCCCTGGCAGGGATGTTTCTCAGCTGCCTAAGCCCATTTGTCAGACACAACGTAGAGTCTTTCTGGACCTTGATGGACTTCGGCTCTCAAAATCCATGAAGCTGCTAGGATGAAGGGGGTCTGATTAACTAGGTTGTCTCGGGAAGCAACCACAATGCCGGAGCAGTGTCCCTGCTCCCCAAAGCTGGATTGGCTGGAATGTCCAGAGCCCGCTCCCAGGAGGGGTGTGTGCTGTGTGAGTGTGTGCGTCAAGAAGGGGGGTAAACCCGGTCCTGGCCCGCCAAAAAAGGAAAGTGGGGGCCGGGTTGGGGGGGAAGAAAAAGAAAAACCCCCCTTTAATTTTTGCAAGGGGTCCAACGGGGCCAAAAAACAACCAAAGGGTAAAAAAAGGAACCCGGGGGCCAAATGCCCGAAGCCGCAACCCAAAACCCCCAACCAACGGCCGGGGGGGCCTGGGGAAGGTGCCTCCAAGAAGGCCCTAAGTTCCCCAACCGGAAAACGGGGAGAAGAAAACAACCAACCCAAAAAAGGGGGGGGAAAAACAAAAAAAGGCAATAAAGCCCTAAAAAAAGGCCCGGCAAAAAAAAAAACCCTCCCAAAAAATTGCCGAAAGAAACCCCGTAAGGAAGTCTCTGGGAAGGTGAGCAGAGTCCTGGGAGTGGGACCTGCTCAGTGTGCTCCCCAGCCTCCCTTTGCTCGCTGGTGAGATGGTATGATTGCATGATCTTGGGGTACTCTAGCCACTGCAAGCTGGGCATGCTTCGGGAGCCCCTGAGGGTCCCCAGAGAGCTGACATGCTCAACCACCAGCCCTGTGACTGTCACACAGGGAAGCAGCATGAGGAGGAGGAGGGCAAGGCGGTGTGCCGCCCCCACCCCCAAATGCTTTTTCAGCTGCTAAGGGTGCAGTGGCTGGTGGGGATGGCAAATGCATTTGCTGCTAAGAGGACGCCCCTGACACCGCAGCGAGGAGCCCACGAATGTGTTTTCTGGCACGTCTGCTAATGGCTTCATCACGGCTTTTTATGAGACGATGTGAATTGCTCTGACCAATGAGGCTTAATGGCCTTCCTCAACGAGCTGCCTGGTGTATTCTCCCCGGAGGCTCGGCTCAGAGTTAAGCCAAGAATATTAATACAGCTGGATGTGGGCCCTCCCCCTCCCTATAAAGTTGTGGAAATTGAGGTCAAGTTGGGTCCCCTGCAACGTTCTTTAAACAAGCAGCAGAGTGGTTTGTTTGCTCCTTGATCTTCCTGGTGGAGAGGGAGTGGCTTCCAGCTGGAGACCTGGGACCTGACCCTCTCTTGCTCTGGGTTTGCTTGCACTTGCGAGCAGGCTCCCGGGGAGGGAGTGAGGGAAGGCCCCTCAGGGAGGGCCCCTCGATGCCAACGTTCGGGGCTGCTGGGGCAAGAGCAGCAAATAGCAAGGCCCTGTGCTGGGATGGAGGAGTAGACGGCTGGTCCTCTCAGCCAGGGGGCCCTGCCATTGCCTGCTGTAACCTCGAGAGCGGTCTCCTGTGTGGTTGAGGGCTGGAACAGCAGCGTGTCAGACATGGGAGGGGTCTTTGTAGTCTTGTCCATCCTCCCCCTCAACCCCCATTTCATAAGCCAAGGAGCAGATGATCAGAGAGGGGAAGGGAATTCTGCAGTCAGTTGGTGTCAGGGCTGGTTTAGAAGCTGGGTCCTTGGCTCCCCAAGCCTGGATCTTATCCACCCGCCGGCTGGTCCTCATTCAGCCCTTGGTGGCAATGCATTTTTACAATCAACCTCCAGGGGTTGAGGCCAGCTCTTAAGGCCTCCTGCAGTCTTCCATCTTCCACGTGTGCATCGCAGTTCCTGCAGCCATCCGTCTTAGAACGTGGTTTTGATAACTTTTAACTTTCCTCCACGGCATGGTAGAAAGAGCATTAAAATCCTCTTTATGAGCAATGAGTTCAAATTTCAGTTCTGTAAGCCAGCTGTGTAACAAATCACATAACAGTTTTCAGCCTGTAAAACAGGGTGGTAAACAAGGGGTGATACCATCTCCTCTCAGGGTTGTACAGAAGAACCAAGGTAACAGGTGTGAACTTGCGTGTCTTTAGTAGGTGCTTAGCAAACATTTATTTACCCAAGCATGCAGTGTCTCTCCTAATGTGTGGATGTCAATGGTGGGTCATGACTTTGGAACATTCAACATAGAGCGTGTGGCAGCCTCTCCCCATGGCCTTGGCTTGGTACAGAGAATGAGACTTTTAACTTACCATTCCGGTGCAAGGCCAGAAGCTTCTATAGGGCACGAACTATCTCTTATCTGCGTTTGCCAGTGCCTGGTGGATAGCCAGCACTCAATAAGTGGGTATCGAATGATGGTGCTTGAAGGTGGCGTGCACAAGTGCCATCTGTGCACGCCCGTGGCCTGTGAGGATATCATAGAGCACATCCTAACTGATTCCCTCCCTTCACCTCCCCTGCAGCCCGCCCTGAAGATGTCGGCACCAGCCTCTACTTTGTAAATGACTCGTTGCAGCAGGTGACATTTTCCAGCTCCGTGGGGGTGGTGGTGCCCTGCCCGGCCGCCGGCTCCCCCAGCGCAGCCCTTCGATGGTACCTGGCCACGGGGGACGACATCTACGACGTGCCGCACATCCGGCACGTCCACGCCAACGGGACGCTGCAGCTCTACCCCTTCTCCCCCTCCGCCTTCAATAGCTTTATCCACGACAATGACTACTTCTGCACCGCGGAGAACGCTGCCGGCAAGATCCGGAGCCCCAACATCCGCGTCAAAGCAGGTAAGGGACAGGATGCCCGCTCCCCGACTCGGGAGCTCAGTGTGAAGGCCAGGATGGGATTTCTTAGGACACGCGTGTAACATGCCTAGGGGGTGTTGCAAGAAATCTTTCACTCAAGGACAGTCGTGTTGTTCTCCTTTGAATCTTAGCTCTACCATCTATTGCGTGTTCTTAGGCATAAGAGATGCCTTTCTAAGCCTCAGTTTTCTCATCTGCAGAGTGGACGCTAGTACCTACTTCTACCGCACTACCATTAAATGAGATAGTGCTCATTTAAGTTAGGTGCTCACTTCAGCCCTTGACTCATAGAAAACACTCAGTGAATTATAATATGTAAAATGCACAGAAGTGTGTAGCACAATGAATTTTCACAAAGTTCAACTACTGTACAGTGTCAGCACCTCAGAAACCTTCCTCATGCGTTTTTCATATACTATTCCCCTAAGAGGAACCACTATCCTGACTTTTAACAATGCAGATGTTTTGCTTCTTTTTGACCTTTACATAAATGGAACCCTACAGTATATATTCTCTTGACCCTTGGCTCAGGATTCTATTTGTAGGATCTACCACTCCTGTTGTGCGTGGTGGTAGGCCATTCATTCTCGTTACTGTCTAGTGTTGTACCATGTGACTAGGGCACACTTTGTCCATTCTACTGCTCAGGGATGTTTGAATATAACATATCTCATGAGAACAAGCATTTTAGGTAAAATTCATGATGGAAAACTTTTAGCAGTGAAGGATTTTGGCCTTTGGAAGAGTGCATGGAGGCAAGGAAGTAGGGTTTCTCCAGTGATCTCTTTAAAGAAAATAGAGAGTCTCATTTCTCTGGGTTAGGTCTGGCGGTGAGAGGATAGCTTAGATCAGCCGTTCTTAACTAGGACATCGTGATATGCTGGTGTGTCATAATCAGTGGTAAGGTGTGCCTTGAATAGTTGTAAAGTTCTGGGGATGGTTTTCTTAGAGGAGCTGTTCTTGCAGGAGAGGACAGGTGGCGTTCTAGCCAGGTCTAGGCTGTGGCGCCAGGTCTAGGCTGTGCCGTCTTTCCTGGGGATTGTGTTAGGTTGACCAAGGATAGAGGTTCTGGGGAAGGCCTCCAAACCAGTGACAGCCTTTCTCTGACTTCTTGGGTCCTTCTCTCCTCTCACAAGGACAAAGTTCCATGTAGGTGGGACCAGGGGGAGAGGCAGGGTGAGAGTTCTGCTTCATTCCACTGGTTGGTTTGGGGGGAGACTAGGAGCTCTTCGAACCCAGGGCCATGCTCAGGGTTTGGCTCCTGGGCTCCCTATGGAATTTCTTTCTAGGATTAGGTCCTTTGCACTGTTCAACCCTAGCAAGACCAAGTGCTAGGCTGGGAGCCCTGAGGCCTGGATTTGGGGCCCAGCTGTGGCCTCCACAGCCTGGAGGGTTGGGCTAAGTGAGGACATTGTGTTTCCTGCTACCTGCCTGCCATTGAGTTAGGATGCAGTTTTCACAGTGAGTCTGTAGAGTGTTTCTTACAAATGAGGAGATTAAGACAAAGAGAGGTTTAAGTCACTTGCCAAGGGCACATAGTTAATCACAGAGGTACAGGTATCATGAAAAGCCACGTTGTCGGAGTGCTTTCTGGGTGCCAGGCTTTTTACATGCTGCTCTGTTGTTACTTCCTTTTGCAATTGGGGAAACTGAGGCTCCAAAAGGTTAACTGACCCTTGTCCAGGATAACATAGCAGGTCAGCGCAGGAGACAGGACCTGCTTGTTTGGTGCCATGAACAATCAGAACAATCACCCTCTGCTGGGTTTCTGAGACATCTTGGGTTGCCTGTACCCCAGCCTGCCCTTTCCACTCCCCGCTCTGCTGCTCCTGAGGGTCAGCTCCCCTTGGTCTCCTCTGCGCTCTCCCACATCTGTGGCAGTGCCTGTGCCCTCTTCTCTCTACTCCACCTTCCCCATCGCGGCCACAACTCCAGAAGGGGAAAAAACGGAGCCTGGGCCCTGGGCTGGCCAGGCAGGGCTGGCTCACGGGAAACAACCAATTAAGCCGCTCTTGGTGATGCCAGAGGGGCTGCAGGTGCACCGCCGGGGGAGGGGCTGCCAGGGCCCTAAGTGTCGCCTTGGCAACCATGGCAGGGAGACAAGCGGGGCACACTGCCCAGGTGCCTGCTGAGGGACAAGGTCGGTAGGCAGTGGGGCTGTGGATGTTCCAGCTCTGCTTGGCAGGGAAGGGGGTGGAAGGATGGAGCAAGCCCCTGCCAGAGGCCATGCAGAGGAGGACAGGGCAGAGGCAGGACCCTCAGGCACATTCCCCAGGCTGGGTCAGCCCACCCAGAAGGCCTGACTTATGGAGGTGGCTGCAAGTGACAGTGCCCAGAAACTAGCCCTGGGACTGAGGCAGGAGGTGGACGCTGGGGGTAAAGGGTGGTCTGAAGGCAGGGCCAGGGCTGGGGGACAGGCAGGGCTGCTCTAGAGGCTGCAGGCAGTCTCAGCAGGGGGAGAAAGCAGCAAGGCTGCTTTGTTTGGGGGATCTTGGAGACCATGTCCACGTCTCAGAGACAGTCATAGTTTCAAATATTCTCTCCCATCATCCTTCTACACCACTAAGCCCTTCCAGAAAGTTCAGCATCTGAACTACATCTCCCAGCTTAACTGTCATGTTGAAGCAGCCCCCAAACTGCTGTTAGATCATGCGTTACAGGTCTTATTTTAGCAAATTATGGTCACCGTGCCCAAAACAATTGCCACCCTGGGTCCAGGAATGATGCAAGAAATCCAATACGGGTACCTGAGGGGAATTCTAGCATATTTCCTTATCTCCTACGTACCCCCTCATTGGATATGGTGACATTGCAGGGCTTAGGTGCTGCCCTCCACGCTCTTACAATCTAATGTGCTTTGCTAATGACCGCAATGGGGAAGGAAGGAATTTGGATGTGTGGTCTTGCAGGGGGAGGGGTCCACATATTTCTGAGGCAGAGCAGGCTGCCCAGTGTGTCGGGGAGGAGGCTGATGGAGAGGGGGCTACCCAGACAGGCACCCAATTGTGCAGGGGCTCCTGGGCTGGCTCAGCGGGAGGTGGGGGGAAGAGGTGGGAGGGTGTGGTTGGCAGTGTCTTGGGAGTTGAGATGACTTGCTGCTCCTTTCTGGGACCCCCACTGCATCCTTGTGACACTCTCTTCTCCCCCATTCCCAAACTCTACAGTTTTCAGGGAACCCTACACCGTCCGGGTGGAGGATCAAAGGTCAATGCGTGGAAACGTGGCCGTCTTCAAGTGCCTCATCCCCTCTTCAGTGCAGGAATACGTTAGCGTTGTGTCTTGGGAGAAAGACACAGTCTCCATCATCCCAGGTAAGGAAGAACCACGGGGCGGCGGCCGACAGCGGTGATGGGCAGCGGGTGGGCAAGGTGGCGGTGCCTGAGCTGGTTGTTGAGCTAAACAAGACCCTGAGATTGGTTCTGGTGAGTGACTTGTTATTGTTCCGGTGATACTTCGGCCAAAAAAGCGTCTTGGGTCTCGGTCTGGCGCATCTCGGTGGGGTGGTGAAGGCCTCCGTGAGTGGCCTGGGCTGGCTGTGTGAAGGTCCCGTTGGACTCGGGGTGCGGCAGGGGCCCCGTCCTTCCTGACTGCTGGGGTTTGGCTGGCCCTGGCCCTGGCGGACGAGAGGCTGGGCTGTGGCCCGTGTTTCTGCATTCGGAGCGCTGAGCACTGGCTCCTTGGGGACCAGCCTTGTGCTAAAAAGCACATGGGGCTTTTTCCTTTCCTTTCCTTGTCCTTTGTGCACGAGTTGGCTAAAGACTCTATCAGAATTCTAGCCAGCAGCATCCGGAGGCTGACGTGGAGAGACGGGTGTAAAACCATGGTGGAGGTTGGTCTCATTACAGCTGCCGCGATTGTGAGTTCTTCGTTGTTGGTTCCTTTTGCCTCTTCACGGTTGTCCCTCCAACAGGAAAACAGGTCTGGAAACCCCAAGAGAGGACCTCAAGTCCTTAAAATACCTCTAGGCCTCCGACGAGTTACAGCTACAAAACTCTGGGGTTTTTCCACCACGGCTCCCTCATCCCCACGCATTGCAGAGGTTCTGTCGCTTTGTTCCTTCCTTTCTCTGGCAAGGACCTTTGTTTTCCTTTCTGTGAAATGGGGGAACTTGACCAGGTGCCCTCTGAGTGCCCCTCAGCACTGAGGTCGCGTGGCTGGTGGTATGAAATGACCGTTGTCCTCAAGGTGTGGGGGTTAGTCGGGGGACGCATGGAGCCTTGAAAGCAGGGGTTCTTGGCCTGCGACTCATTCGAATCCCTGAATGATTCGAAATACCAATGCTCGGGCCCAGCCTCAAGTCAGCGGATTCAGAATCCCTCAGGAGCAGAACCTGGGCATCAGTGTCTCCAGTGCTCCCCCCGTGGTTCCGATGTATAACTAGGACAAGAACCAACGCCTGGGCGTGTTGACAGCTCACATGGCGGGGGCCTTTCTTTGAGATGTTACTTTGTGTTTTGCTTTCGGTACTTTTTCCTTCTCTCAGTTCCAGGCAGATGGCCAGGCCGTTATATATCCTGGCTCCAGAGCGTGTAGTGGGACAGGAATCCAAAGCTACTTGAAGACAGCTGCTCTTCCTGTCTGTTGTAAAACCACAGGCTAATAGGAGAGGTTGGGAAGGGTGTCTTGCCTGGGGAGCGGGGCCTCTGAGGGGAAGGAGCTACAGGAGACAAAAGGATGGCAGAGGTGGGTGGTGCTGTGGGCTGCTCGGAGGGCACAGCGGAAGAAGCGGTTGGACCCCACAAGGGTGGCGTGTGGGACCCGTAGGGACTGAGGGCCAGGGGTCTTGTGTCCGAATGAAGCACGGGGTGCACTGCCAAGGCCCAGAGGGACCATGCAGGTGGGGATCAGGGGCTGCTGGGAACCAGAGAGGCCCTGGACCTTAGCACACCCCTGAGGGAAACCCTAATAGTGATGGACACAGTCTCCTGGCTATCTAGAAAAGTCAGATTGAAGGTAATTTAAACAACAGCAAGAAATGTGGTATTTCTTGTACACTTGAGTTTATGGACTAAGCATTATATCCATGAAAATAGTAATTGCTGTTATGTTAAAATTTGGGGGGTGCTGACTATATGTCAGGCACTAGGCTAAGAAACATTCATATGCGATCTCACTTTATCATCGCAAAAAGTCCCTAAGTACGTTTCCATCCTCCACTTTACAAACGAGGAAACTGAGGCTCAAAGTAAAGTAATTTGTTCTGGGTCACAGGTCTCTTACGCAGAGGGTGGGGGCTTGAACCCAGGCAATGAGGACTTTGGCCTCAGGAAGGTGGAAAAAAATCAATGTTTGTTGATTGTTTTAGGGACGTCTTCACGAAACCACGTCCAGTGTTGTGATTAAAAGCCTAGAATGTTGGACAAGAGACCGCCTGGGTTTGAAACTCACTCCATTGCTCTCTGGCTGGGCAAGTTATTTACACTCTCAGTTTCTCCAACTGTAAAATGGATTCATAGGGTTTGAGTGAGGATGAAATGAGTTAATATGTGAGCAATGTTTACAAACGCTATCGGACACACACTGAGGCCAGGTTGTAGCAATTGCTAGGTGGAAGACATCATACTCCTCTTTGTACTTGCTGTCCCTTGTTGTGGGGTCTGTGTTTCTACTGTGTAACAGAGTCTGTGACCCTCACAAGACCTCGGGGTGGGAACTGGGTTATCTTCCCAAGGGTAGGAACTGGGTTATCTTCATCCACCCAGCCCTGGCTCCTTCTGCACTCCAGATAAATGTTCACTGAACGATCAGTGAGTGGATGAATGGCCGGCTGGAAGAATTCCGAAGGAATCTGGGAACAGCATGGGCAGGGGCATTGAAATCAGGCTGGGCAGGTCGGGGTGGGTGGGACTAGCAGATGGGTTAGGAGAGGAGGAAGGATAGCAGGCTCCTGTGCTTAGGAGCTGGAGGCTGTGAGCTTCCCCCAGGCGGCCCTTGGAGTTGGGGCTTCAGGGCTGTCTTTGATGTGGAGACTGGGCTGGTGGCCCCAAAGGGCATAATTATCAGGGAAGTGGCCTTGATGCTAATCTTCAGGCTGTGTTAAACTTTGGTTCTGTAGAACCCTTTTCTTTCCTTTGGCCTTGGAGAATTTTCCTCTTCTGCCCAGCCCTCCAGCCCCATCGGTAATCATTCTAGATTCTTCTATAGCTACATGTTAGATCCAGGGACAGTCTTCCCAAAGCACGCGATTCCAACTAACATGCTCCCAGAGGAATCGATGAGAGCCAGAGAGAGTGGAGTTTTGCTTCCTCTAGGCTTTGTAGGTGAGAGACCAGAACTTGGGCCCACATGCTACATGCTTTAATTTTGGAAAATGCAAATAGTTTGATCTTTTATAAAAATAGGATTTTTTTCCCTGCTATCCATATTCACACTATACCCAGTGTGTGTGCTCGTGTGTGTGTGCTCGTGTGTGTGTGTGTATTTTGAGGTGGGGAGGCTGTATGGACGGCAGCTTCTCACAGTGGGGGCGGATTTAATGATCAGTTGCCCTGAAGGTTAAGGAAGGATGGAGGAGCCAGAGTTACTTCCCTCTGACACTTCAGGGTCTCCTTCTGGAACACGGGGGACTGTGTTGACTTTGATCTCTGGGACAGTAGGGCTGGGCTCAAATTATTCCCAAACCACAGGGCCTGCAACAGCGGGTTGCTGGAAAGCAGGAAGAGGGACAGGGAGACTGACATGGGCCATCCCGGCCCCAGGAGGTCCCCCCTTGGAGAAAGCAGGTGCCCTGGGAGGAGGGGGCCCCTGCAAGGGTGCAGGCCCCTGCGAATGGGAACCAGCCCACCTACACCTTTTTCTCAGGGAGTCTGGGAAGAATTAAAGGCTTGGGACCCAAGAAAGGTCCGAGCGTTGGGTATTTGCTCACAGGTTAGCCTTCCCGGCACTGTGGCTGTCCTGGAACTGGTGGAATCTCCAAGCAGCTTTTTGGCAATGCTTTTCCCAGGGTAGGGAGAGGCTGGAGAGACAGCCCGAAGTGCCACCTTTCTCAGAGCCACCAGCTATACCCACCTCCGCTCACCTCCTCCACCTTCCCCCCTCAAGCTGGTCATCTTCCTTCAATCGGGCTATTTAAACAAATGCGTGTGAAGAACGGAGCCTCTCACCTGGGGTCTGGCAGGCTCCCATCCCCAGTCGTCTCCTCCGGGACTTGGTCCTGGGGTGAACTGGCTCTCAAGGCAGGCAGGGGGTGGGGCGGGTGAGAGGGCCCAGGGCTGTGCACAAACACAAATTAAAATTAGGGCCTCCAGTGAAGCCGAGATGCGGCTTAATTTCCCATCTGCATGATCACCATTACAATGCATGTTACTGGATATAAAGATAAATCCGGCCCTGTTCCTAATAGCTTTTAATTTCCACCAGACCTGATTATATCGATGCGGGCTCCTTGTGGGAGTTTCCCAGCATGCTCTTCCCCAGCATCCTGACTGGCTGTCTTGGGGAGTTTTGGACGCTGCTCAGATGCAAGTCAGATGAGTCCACTGCTGCTCCGGAAGACGAGCCTGCAGCAGCCCCCTGTCCACGCGCACGGGGCTCTTGGATGCTGGGTGTCATCGGGCCTTGGCTGGGCTAGGGGTGCGTAGGGGGTGCTGTGTGTTGGGGGAAGGGGGAGGCTGGGCAAAGAGCACCAGGGTTCCAAGCGGGCTCCATACCTCTTCTCATTTGATCTGGTACGCAGCGATCCCCTCCTCTGTCCCTTACGTGTGCCCTTCTGTGAGGCCTGGCGTGCGCCTGCCACCGGGGCAGACTGAACTGCTCCTCTGGTTTCCTTCCTGGAACACTTACGTCACTCTGTCTTGCGTGGCAGGCCGTTATTTCTGTCTGTCTGCCGCAGGAGGGTGTACGACTATCTTCCTCATCTTTTTATCTCCAGGACCGGCATAGCGCTGTTGGAGAGTAATAATAATAATGAGATTAATGATAATGCCTAGCATGTATGGAGACCTCGTTTGGGGTTAGGCATTTTGCACGTATTATCTCTAATCCTCGCAATAACCCGTTAAGAGAGAGAGAGAGAGTTTCTTTTTATATTTTGTTTTGTTTGTGTTTTTTTCCAATTTTTCAAATGAGGATGTTGAAGCCCAGGGAAGTGAAGCCAGTGACGAGAGGCCGCACAGCTGGTGAGGGATGCGGCCTGGATGTGAGCGGCCCTCGGGGTTCCTCTACCTCCTGCCACCTCCGCGGGGTAGGCTCCTCCCCATCGGGAAGCGACTGGCCTCAGGTTTGGATGTAGGCGGAGGCCCAACCTGTCCCCTGCATTTGCTGGGAACAGAAACATGTCACCAGCCCTTGTGCTGACCTCCGGCTGTGTGTG